CAGTTACTGGGTCAGTCATGCTCATGGCCATGAAACAGCTCATGGTGGAGGAAGTGATGCAGATGAAGTTTGATGATGATGAAGAAGATGAAGATGGTGAATCATATTATTCCAACTGTACATTCCGCACTTCCAATGTTCATATTCTTCAACTCACTGTTCTTCATCTGTCATTCCTCATTTCAGCAGCTAACTTGCTGTTTGTAACAGAACAGGAATCATTTGACTCTGATTCTTCTGTAACTTCATTTTACTGATTATCGCTTTGCAATACCCCATTATATATTCGTCGTCAAATCTGTGGCCTTCTTTTGGTTAAATATAAAAGTTAGTGTTCGTAGAGAAACATTTAATCAACATTTACCCAAAGTAGTCATAAAAAAACGTGTTTCACATGAGAACATTAATGAACATGTCAGCAAACTCGCCTGCTTCACCTCTACCTGTTTTTACAAACATAACACTAGAAAAGATTCCTCATTGACATGGACAAATGGAAAATGGAAAATGAAAAATGAAAATGGAAGACTCAAATGCCTCAGCAGTCTGTAATGAAAGTTCAAATACAGCTGACAAAGTAAACATATAAACAATGAACAGAGAAAGCTCTCAGACAGCTTCAGGAATTGAAATCTGCAGTGTTGCATTGACGGTCACTGGAGTGTATAAACTATCCTTTCCGAGAGCTCTTTACCAACCACTCTTTTGTATCTAACCAACTGATTTTCTACGTAGCTTCTGGAGGGGAAGATGGCTTCTTTTATGTCATTGTATCTCATACGGGAGTTGCCTATGCCAATCAAGATATTTGTTACATCTCCGTCGTCTATTTCAGGGGCTAGGCTACGGCTTTCTGAGCCCAAGTCCTCATCAGATTCGTCCGAGTAATCCTCAGCCATCTCCCCATCCTCGTCCATATTATCATTATCTGGTTCTTCCAGGTAATCGGTATCGTGTTCAAGTTCCATATCGTTCGGTACCTGGTCAAGTGCTGACGATTCCCCATTTTGTTGGAGTGAAAAATCTGATAGGACTACGTAAGATTTTTGATCAAGCAATGGCTTCGCAGCATGAAATGGAACCCACCTGAGGAGATGCAGAGCTCATGGGTCAAATTTGAAGTGACTAATCGGTAGTAATAAGTTACTTATGACCGAACAAATTTCTAGTTACTCAATGGCTCCTAATTCTAGACCACATTTGTTGACAAGAGTAATAGAAGCCAAGGAATTACTAATTAAAACCCCCAAACTGACTCAAGCTACACCGGAAGAACAAGACATTAATTTTATCCTAACCCTTTTAAGTAAACAAATCAGCCTCAATAATCCCCCACCTACAGAGAAAAACTTACGTGTAACGAAGTGGACAAAGAAGCTCTGATGGGCAATATGTTGCCTTGTATTTCATCTTTCCACAGTTGTGAATATAATAGCCAAGATAATAATATTGAAGAGTGGCACAGTGTGCTTGATTCTGTTTTACCCACTCTATTTCTTGTAGGGCTGAATACTTCCCCAGAGATAGGAAAGCATAGTCAGGGTCCCAGAATAAATATTTACTCGATAAACACCTTGGAAGGATGTCTACAACACCAACTGCAACTAGCTTCCCATCAATCAAATATTGCTGGTGAAAAGAACCAAAACCGCAGGGAGGAACTGTGCAATCACCAGTTGAGGGAACAAAGTTGAGGGGAGTGTCGACTAGGAAGTTTCGATATGAGGCTTCTGATATACGATCTGGACTATCATTGTGCACAAGAAGCTGATAACTTTTATACAAAGCGTATTCTACTGGATCAAAACTGGACCGTTTCAGGCGTATCTCAAACTTTCGTCTCTTCTGCAAAGAACATTTCGGGTTCTTGTCCCTACTGGAATCCTTACTTCCGGCTTTAGCAGTTTCTTGAGAAATGGTAGCCTTATCAGAACTCTTCGGAAGGAAAGCTTCTCCTTTATCAGAATAAAAATTGATATGTCCATTGCATGCTTTGATTGAGAAACCGGATACCTCATTGACCTGGCTCAAATAACTTACCAGCTTTTCAGCAACTATTTTAGGAATGAACCCATTTTCTGCTGTATTACTCTCTGATGAGGATAAGTTACCATCTTTCATCTCACCAACTTGGGCACGCCTTATGCTGGCAGACAATTGGAACGCAACATTGCTGGAGTATACAAGATCCTTTGATCCTTGAACCAGCACTTTCTTCTTTGCATGGGAAACCCTTTTGACAGAAGCTCTTGGAAATTGTATGTTACGGGGAAGATCGCTGCTTTTGGTGTATAAACTTACGGCATCATTGATCTCATCAGACAGATGCAGCATAAAGTGATCTTCCTCCTTTTCGTTATTTTTTAAGGACAATGAGTTCTTTTCTACTGAGTGAGATTTGCCATTAAGTGCAAAGCTACTGCCCTCGGAAGCACTTGAAACTTCTGTGATCTCCACAGGTTTATCATGTTCCAATTCACCATCTAAAAATCTAAAACAAAAAAACTCATCAGATGATAAATAGGAACACATCCAACTAGATTTTGAAAACCGACATTGAAAAAGAGCATAAAATGTACCAAGCCAAACTGAGACCAGATCTTATAAACTAACTATAAACAGAGAGCAGATCTTATAAACTAATTATAAATCGCTGAAATAAGGTAAAGAAATTGTCTTCCCTCACTAAAGGTCGAATTCAACAAAAAGTATAGAACACGCTTTCATTTCTATAACCACTACTCATTAACTCACCAACCCCACCCCCCACGATCAATTTGCTCAAGTAATCAAATATTTTTAAATGTGAATAGTGACAACATCTTCCACCTCAAACATTATGTTGAAAGAGCAGAATTCTTTAGGATCACACCTTTGAAACCGTCTAGAAACTCGTAGTTGATCTTTAGAAGGAACAAAGTTAGATGCCTTCAAACGGATTGTATAAGAAGGGCAACATGTCCTTTCCATCTCAGGTTTGTAGAGATAGCAACCAGATCTTCTCCAGCCACGATCAAGGAGATCTGTTGAACAAGTAAAAATATTTTAGTAAACAATAGTTATGAACCTTCAAGTTGAGCATAGGTTAAAGAAAAATTATAGAGCCTACATTACAATATCACCAGAAACTGATCAAGCATCCATACTAAAATACATTGATAATATGAAAGCATGATGAATATTTTGCAGACAAAATCGACAATGCAGCATGAACTGTGATGGCAGAGAGAAAGGAGATCCTAAAAAGACTGAAAAAAAAGACAGTAATACAAACCTTGGTAGTCATCAACATTAAGATTATCTGGAGCCCATAAACCTGCCATGAAAAAAACGAAAGATGATAAAAGGCAACATAAGAGCCGATCAGGAACACTTATAGCCTACGACAATGACAACAAAATAATGATTTTCAGCTTCTAAATTCCGGAATTGCAGCACAGAAAATTATATACTTAATGTGGATTCCATTCATGCAAAACTACAATTCATGTATCATTCAGAGTAAAGATGCACAAAAAAAAAAAAAAAAAAAAAAAA